TTCCTAAAAATCCTGGTTGTTCCCAAACAGTTCCTGCCAAACTATTCCTAGAAATCCTGGTTGTTCCCAGACAATTCCCACCAACCTGTTCCTAGAAATTCTGGTTGTTTCCAAACCATTCCCACCAAACTGTTCCTAGAAATTCTGGTTGTTCCCAAACAGTTCCTGCCAAACTATTCCTAGAAATCCTGGTCGTTCCCAGACAGTTCCCACCAAACTGTTCCTAGAAATCCTGGTTGTTCCCAAACCACTTCCACCAAACTGTTCCTAGAAATTCTGATCGTTCCCAAACAGTTCCCACCTAATTATTCCTAGAAATCCTGGTTGTTCTTGAATACAATTCCCGCCAACCTCCTGGACAACTTTTCTCTTGGAGAAAGCACCAAAATGACTCAGAAGTATTCCTGGAAATCCTGGTTGTTCCCAAACCACTCCCACCAGACTATTCCTAGAAATCCTGGTTGTTCCCAAACCACTTCCCACCAAACCGTTCCTAGAAATCCTGGTTGTTGAACCCAATTCCCATCAAAGTGTTCCTAAAAATCCTGGTTGTTCCCAAACAGTTCCTGCCAAACTATTCCTAAAAATCGTGGTCGTTCCCAAACCACTCCCGCCAAACTATTCCTAGAAATCCTGGTTGTTCCCAGACAGTTCCCACCAAACTGTTCATAGAAATCCTGGTCGTTCCTAAACAGTTCCCACCTAATTATTCCTAGAAATCCTGGTTGTTCTTGAATACAATTCCCGCCGACCTCCTGGACAACTTTTCTCTTGGAGAAAGCACCAAAATGACTCAGAAGTATTCCTGGAAATCCTGGTTGTTCCCAAACCACTCCCACCAGACTATTCCTAGAAATCCTGGTCGTTCCCAATCCACTCCCACCAAACTGTTCCTGGAAATCCTGGTCATTCCCAAACAGTTCCCACCAAAATGTACCTAGAAATCCTGGTCGTTCCCAAACAGCTCCCACCAACCTGTTCCTAGAAATCCTGGTTGTTCCCAAACCACTCCCACCAAACTGTTCCTAGGAATCGTGGTCATTCTTGAACCCAAATTGTACAATTCCCACCAAGCTATTCCTGCAAATCCTGGTCATTCCCAAGCCCTTCCCACCAAACTGTTCCTAGAAATCCTGGGCGGTTTTAAACCCAAATGATACAATTCCCGCCAACATTCTGGACAACTTTTCTCTTGGAGAAAGCACCAAAATGACTCCAAAGTATTCCCAGAAATTCTGGTCATTCCCAAACAGTTCCCACCAAACTGTTCCTAGAAATCCTGGTCATTCCCAAACCATTCCCACCAAACTATTCCTAGAATTTGTCGTCGTTCCCAAACAATTCCCACCAAGCTATTCCTTAAAACTCTGGTTGTTCTTGAACCCAAATTATACAATTCCCATCAAATTATTCCTAGAAATCTTGACTCAAAAGTATTCCTGGAAATCCTGGTCATTCCCAAACAATTCCCACCAAGCTATTCCTAGAAAATCTGGTCATTCCTAACTGACACAATTCCCACCAACCTCCTGGACAACTTTTCTCCTGGGAAAACACCCAAATCCCCCCAAACTATGTAGGTTTAGGAATGACCAGGATTTCTAGGAATGGTCTGGAGGTATTTTGGTGCTTTTTCCAAGAGAAAAGTTGTCCAGAAGGTTGGTGGGAATTTTATCATGTAGGTTTAGGAATGACCAGATTTTCTAGGAATAGCTTGGTAGGAATTGTATAATTTGGGTTTAAGGATTGACCAGGATTTCAAGGAATGGTTTGATGCGAATGGTGTCATTTGGGTTTAGGAATGACCAGGACTTCTAGGAATGGTCTGGGGGGATTTGGGTGCTTTTCCAAGAGAGAAGTTATCCAGGAGATTTGATGGGAATTGTATCATTTGGGTTTAGGAATGACCAGATTTTCTAGGAATAGCTTGGTAGGAATTGTATAATTTGGGTTTAAGGATTGACCAGGATTTCAAGGAATGGTTTGGTGGGAACTGTATAATTTGTATTTAGGAATAACCAGGATTTCTAGGAATAGTCTGGGGGGATTTGGGTGCTTTTCCAAGAGAAAAGTTATCCAGGAGGTTTGATGGGAATTGTATCATTTGGGTTTAGGAATGACCAGGATTTCTAGGAATAGTTTGCAGGGATTTGGGTTTTTCCAGGAGAAAACTTTTCCAGAAGGTTGGTGGGAATTGTGTCAGTTGGGTTTAGGAATGACCAGGATTTCTAGGAATAGTCTGGGGGGATTTGGGTGCTTTTCCAAGAGAAAAGTTATCCAGGAGGTTTGATTGGAATTGTATCATTTGGGTTTAGGAATGACCAGGATTTCTAGGAATAGCTTGGTGGGATTTGTATCATTTGGGTTTAGGAATGACCAGGAATTCAAGGAATGGTTTGATGGGAATTGTATCATTTGGGTTTAGGAATGACCAGGATTTCTAGGAATAGACTGGGGGGATTTGGGTGTTTTTCCAAGAGAAGACTTCTCCAGAAGGTTGGTGGGAATTGTATCAGTTGGGTTTAGGAATGACCAGGATTTCTAGGAATAGTTTGGGAGGATTTGAGTGTTTTTCCAGGAGAAAAGATGTCCAGAAGGTGGCTGGGAATTCTATAATTCCATACATAACCATACTTTTATAGGTTCTAACCAGTTCCTCATCTTTTCCTGCCTTTTCCTGGATTTTTCCACGCAGAGTTTCCGATTTGGTCCCGAAATTGCTTATGTTGGAGCAACAATCCTGGATGTTTGCAAAGGGATCCGGAATAAGACGTTGGTGGGTGGGAACCAAAAGGGTGAGTTGTGCTCTCTCAGCTCAGGGCCATAAATCGAGGTTAATTAAGTAATTAATCGATTTTATTAACTGATAATTAATTTTATTCACTAATAACAATGTAAATAATAAATATTAATATCAATTGTAATAAATTAAATTAATAAAATTCTATTATAAAATATAAATTTAAGTTTACTCTTTAAGTTCAACATTTTAAAAAATAATTGAATTTAGAAAATTCAATTAATCTGTTAATTAATAATTAATTTAGAAAATTCAACTAGGAGTAAATATTATTAAAAAATAGAGTATAATGGAGTTACTAATAATTCATAATCGATTACATTAAATTGGTTAAATTTCATTTCAAAGTGAAATTTGAAATGACATTTGAGTTTAGCATAGTTAATAATTAATATGTAGGTATTATACATAAAATATTATATAGTAATAGTATATAAATAACTAGGTGTTGATAATTAGTTACTAATTTAATTTATTAAATACATTATGTTAATAATTTTAATCGTTAAATTAATACATTTTATTTTATTAAAAAATTTTATTCAAATATTATTTTCTTTAAATACTATTTTATTTAAATTCTATTTTCTTTAAATTCTATTTTATTTACAATTTATTTTATCCACATTTTATTTTATTTAAATTTTATTTTATTTTATTTTTAAAATTTTATTTTCTTTAAATTCCATTTTATTTACATTTTATTTTATCCACATTTTATATTATTTAAATTTTATTTAAATTTTAATTTTTTAAATTTTGTATTCTTTAAATTCTACTTTCTTTAAATTATATTTTATTTACATTTTATTTTATCCACATTTTATGTTATTTAAATTTTATTTTAATTTTAATTTTTTAAATTTTATTTTCTTTAAATTCTACTTTCTTTAAATTCTATTTTATTTACATTTTATTTTATTCAATTTTCACTTTCTAAATGAAATTTAGGATTTAACATGAAAAAGTTGATTAAATTTATGAAACTAACAAATAGATAACATAATTAAATGTATATTAAATACATTAATTAATACAGAAATATAATACCTTTCATCTACAAAAACACGTTAAATATATTAACAAATCTGTAAATTAATTAAATTTATGAAATTAATAACTAAATAAATAACGCTGACTTGTGGAGTTCCTTGGATCCGGAGCCTGATTCCCGGGATCCCTGGGAATGTCCCCGTGCAGGCGCCGTCCGGGGCTCCATGGAAGGGAAGATCACGGTCCTTTCCCGCAGCAATTCCAGCGTTTTCGACGACGCCGTCAAACTCACCGGGAGAGACAGACCCATCCCAATCCACGTCATCGGGGTAGGTGGGGACGCCCAAGGCCAATTCCTGCCTTTGGAGTCGATATTCCATCAAAAAGCGGGAATCTGGCGCGGCCGGGAATTGATTGGGAACTGTTTTATCCTGAAATCCAGACAGGCCAAATCCCGTTTTTAGGCTGATTTATCCCGTTT